CTCTGAAACTAAAGACAAGAGTGACGACAAACTTCAGAGGGAGTCACATGTGAGGGATCCCTCTTCCACACAGAAGAAACAAAAGATGTCGCACCTCAACAACAGAACAATATTTACTGACATTGATTATTCAATTATCCATCAGAAAATACAGTGCAAGAGAAAACATCTGGGAGAGGTGAACGGATGAGAATTGCAATGATTGCCAGTACCAGTGTATTTGGGCAGGCATACTTTGGTCCATGTCCCATCTGCTAACATAGAGGAGGTAGGAGAAATGGAGTATAATGCAGTCAGCCACTAGGGGGCGATCCAGATGTTTTAGCGGTCATGTCGTCCATCTTCATGCACAGTCTATGATAAGACCTGTTAGAGCCATTGTGTTTGTATAAACGATGTCAGTAGACTGTCAGTGACTTTATAGTATATATACTGTACTTTATACAGTATATACACAGTACTTTATACAGTATATACACAGTACTTTATACTGTGAAAAACTTAAACTGGACACAACACAAAGGTAAATGTGCCACTGTTCGTTTTCAGTGGTCCTCCAGTAGAATGCCTCACAAAGCACAGAAATGCCTCATTAAAAACCTTTATTCTGCATTTATTAAAGCCACCGCACATCATAAAATGCCTCGACTTTATTACAATTACTGTATAATAGTAGTTTTTTTTTTTTTTTAATCCAGCCCCGGCTGTTATTACTATGTCATCTCTCAATCTCGGCCTCGCTCCCCCTGTGTGCCGCCGTCCCACGGTCTGCTCTGCCGTCTCAAACGGCCACGAACCAACGTGATAATGTCACCGATATTGATGTGCTCTCACCAGAAAAGCTGTGGAGATTAGATAGAAAGAAAGGGGAAGAGGGGGGGGGAGATAAAGACAGAGGTGCAGATGGAGCCAGAAAGTGAATTAGCAGCAGCAGCAGCAACCACCCAGACGGAGAAGCTGAGAGACAGAAGAGCAGTGGAGAGAGAGAGAGAGAGAGGGAGGGAGGGAGAGAGAGAGAGGAGTTCATGTGGTTCAGTGGGGAGCTGTGGCACTTTACTCTCTCCAGAGGAATCCATTTATCCCCTTCCTGCAATTAGGGGGCCTTGTTTCCTCTCTTTATCCATCTGAATGTTTGTTTGTGTTTGTTTCTGATGATTATTAGAGCACACACATATAAACGTGCACACGTACGCACCGCAGAGCCACTCTCCTCTGTAATAAATCTCTCATTACAGCGGCGGCTGTTATTTCTTTTGCCTCTGTGCTGCGTTCCATGAGTTTGAGCCGTTTTTCCCTCGCTCTGCGTTATTAGCTTTGTGCCGCGCAAACACAACAGGGAGCCTCCTTCTTACCTCGTCACACTGGGACTGGAGGAGACGGACAGATGGGACAGACTCGCACTACAATGGCACTCTATAGAGCGGCATACCTCCGCCAAGGCCAAACAATCTGACGCACGTCTGTCTGACCTCTTATTATAGAAAAATGCCAGGGAAAAAAAGAGCGGGCCTGATAATTCAACCTCGTCGCCTGACAATGAAGTTTCTACACAATATGTGACAACTATGAAAATACAACGAGATCGTCATAAAGAGGATTTGTCATTATTTCACGTTACACACAAACTAACTCAACACAAGGACAGATTTTCATCAAACTTGATATCTCCAGATAATTCATGTTTGGAGCAAAGACTTTGGTGGTCTCTAACTCCACCTCCTCCATGTTAGCAGATGGGACATGGATCAAACTAACTAAGTCAAAGTGGATGGTTTCTCTCATTTAAGGTAGTTCTTCTCACATATGTTCAAGTGTTTGTGTTTTAAATTGTTGTTTGATTATCTAACAATGGGCAAAACGTTCTGATTGACAGCTGAGGTTGACATGCATCGACAGGACCTCGATAACAAAGCTCCATCTACCGATCCCTACTTTGCATATTCTGACACAAGACGGCCGCCTTCATATCCAGGATATTTTGGCTTCAACAATGATAGTGACACTGATATTGATCGATAAATAACTTCCCATCATGAAGAAGTGACGTCATGAAATGTATATAAACTCAACAATAAACTAAACAATAAACTAACCCTAATAAAGACTGAAAGATTAGATTCATGATCCAGGACGTCATGTGCAGTAATTTATCAATACTTTGAAATTCCACTCACTTCCACTGTGCGGAGGAAGAGGCAGGAATCTGAGACTCGGATGTTTCAGGCCGTGTGTTGTTACAGCCACATGTGATGAGATATATATATATATATATTTTTCTAACTTGGGTGAACTGGCTGTTTAACGTCAAACGTGTCTCCGTCACGAACCTCAGAGGCACCGACGACATTAAGGTTTAATCAAGGGCATGAAGGAAGAACAGTCACTCAGTATTTAAGGTTTCCTGGAGGTTGACTCTTTAAAGTTCAGTTTAACTTACACAAACACAGAGCGTGGCCGAGAGGCTGTTTCCAGGCATTAAGGCCGACATCTTCACCTCGTGTAAAACCACCGCAAAGTCAAGGTTGAAGTGGAAGCGGGCGTGGAGCGATTTGCACTTTGTCACAGTAAAACCCTCAGTGTGATCAATAACATTAAAGTGATAAGTGATGTAATCTTCAAAGTCTCATGGTTGACTTATTCCTCCTCGTAATGGGTCACAGTCTGGCACTTTCTTTTTTAAGGGACTAAAACAAAAAGCCGGTTAACGCTGTGCAGATTGCTTTTCCACTGAAAACATATCCAGAGTGATGAATTTCACAGATTGATTCCTGATACTACAGCCATCACTTTCATATCAGCAATTTGGAAACAAACCAGCAGAGAATGGGATTTGTTAGTGATGTGAGTGTTTCTCAGGTCAAGGACGAGGAGGCCGATCAGATCTCCATCTTGGATTCTTGAAACCTGAAGTAACCGTATTTAGTAGTAGTAGTATGTAGTCTATGGTTGTACAGGTATCATTGTACAGCTCTCTCTCTCCTGCACAATGATTTTAGATTCAAACACGGTTATTTCCTTTGTATTAAAATGACATCGAATGACGTGTTTTTAAAAATCCCGTCTCAATGACAATTTCATGTGTTAGATTTTCTATAGGGTCGTTTCAGACATAATGTTGTGAACATAATGGCTTCCACTGAAAAATATATAGATTTCTAGTGTACAATTGTATAATATGAAGCCATTTATCAAAACAAATTATACTTTTCCTCATCTCCACTTCAGGAGGACCTCCATTCATAAATAATTCATAGCCTGATTTATGAAACATCTTATATCCAACGTGAAAACTTATGATTTTTAAAAATCGATCGACTCTTTTTTCTGATTCATGGATTGAAGATACATCCAAACTATCAGATATAAGAATTAAATTTGCACATTCACACACAAACTAATTGTCAATAATCAACAGGGTAAGTTTCATGATTATATCGATTAGTTTTTGCCAAAGCACATATTTATTTTAGTGGAAAATCTAATTAGATATGAAATTAAAACATTTCATTTGAGCAGAGGTGAAACCCCTCTGCCACACACTGGCCCTTCTGTGTCTGTCTTCAGGGACCAGGAGTCTTATCGGACACACCAGGGTTTAATCTGCAGCTGCTCCACTGACGACCGACACGAGGCTGTGAACTTCAACTCTGCATGAACTTCGTGGGAATTATCATCAGGACTGGAATCATATTTGACCACAGAGATTTCCTGACCTTCACCATGACATGAATTAACATCAGCTGAGAACTGTTGGGTTTCTCTCTCTCTCTATAAGTCTCTCCATAATAAATGCTTTGAGATAATTATGACTTAGCAACACATGAATAAAATGTGACGTTTGAATTTAACTTTAGCTTCAGCAGCGACAGATGTAAATGACCAGTTAGTCCTCTGTTAGTCCGAGCAAACAGAACAAACGACTCCCTTTGGTGCAGCAGCAGCAGCAGCTCTTCCATCAGCGGGAAGTTTATAAAAAATCAGGTTTGTTTTACTTTCTGCAAATCCGATAAAAAAGAAAAATTGCTCAATTCTGTGTGTTTCTGTGTGATAAAATATCTCTGAGTTTGCAGAGTTGTTTATTCAGAGTTCTTACAACCTTTCTCTCCATACACATGCAGATCAGGTGAATTGATAAGAGTGTGGTAGCTCTGCGGTGAGCTCGTTAAAATAACTCCTACTGTAATAAACTCCTTTACCCTGCAAATGAGAAACTGGGGAAAAACCTTCTTTCATATAAGGTTTTCTTGATGAGGCAGATTTTTCTTTTCAAATTCAGCCGAGTGTGGATTAAAGATTGAATGAAAGAGAGAGGGCGACATGAAGCGCTGTGGACGATAGAGCCAAAAATCATATACATATAATCATGTAAGTATATATATATATATAAAATTAACATCACATTATTATTTCTTTTAATTTTCAAAGACTGATTGTCGGGGGCAGATGTGGATCAGGGGGCAGATCCAGGAACATTTCATCACTTTCTTTAACAATGAGAAATAGGGTGTTATTTTTTAATTTGCTCTAATTGCCCAGGGAATAATGAATTGATCTTGATTTTTTTTTTTTTACTAAACTCAAGTGGACGGTTGGACCTTGATGGAGGTCAGTGCTCTACTCTGCCTTTCTAATTTCTTACTTTTTGCTAGTTTCACTGCAAAAGTTTTTCACTCCTTCGTATAAAACTGTGACAAAAGCAGTTCTGAATTATTCCTCTGTGTGTGTGTGTGTGTGTGTGTGTGTGTGTCCTGTCCAAACGATGGCAGGTACTGATTTGATGACACCAATTAACATCATCACAATCCACCATGTTGTCAGAGCAGCAGTCCGCCTCCAGCTGAGGACACAGACCCAAAAATAGAAGAAGGGAGAAAATGAAGTGTTACGCTGATGGACGGATTGATAAATGGAGGGAGGTGAAGGAATGGAGGAGTGACAAATGAAACGAGAGAGTGTGTGTGTGTGTGTGGGGAGTGTGTAGACGGAGGCCCTCAGGGAGATCATGGGACAACAGTTGATTTATTGGCTGCCGTCACAGAATGAATAGATTGACTTTAACATGTTGTCAGTCGGGGCGGGAGCAGACGGCGAGGAGGTCCATGATGGCTTCCTCTAACACAGGGTGCACGGAACTCGTTGTTCTAACAGGATTTAAAGGACATGCATTTTTTACACATTATACATAATTTCTGATGAAAGAAAAAAAAAATCTAGTTTAAAGACACAAGACGGAGTTCTCCAGACCAGAAACAGTTTCATTAACAGAACGAGCTCACGGTAAATCTTCCATGTCGGAGTAATTTTTAATAAACATCACAAAAGAGATCACGCGATCATTCCTTAGCTTTCTACCGTCAAGAGATGGGAGGTCAGAGGTTATCCTCAAATGCCCGACAACCGTCTATTAACTTTGTATTTGTGAAATCGCCGAACCCTATAGGGCGGCCTCAGATCACGTACACTGCTTTTCTGTTTCACAAAACAACAACTGCTACTCAGACACCTGAAACGCCAACAGAGCTGTATCACAGGACGTTACACCCACCGTCATTTTTACTCAAAATGCTAAGCTGTGAAGCAGCACAGACTGCAGCTAGCACAAACATGATAACGACATAACAGGAAGTGAGGACCTGCGTGAACGCCGGTGAGACCACACGTGTTCAGTCGCAGCTGATTCTGTTAGCTGAATGTGTAGTTTGTGTAAATACAGCGGATGTACTTTGTCGTCAGGTGATGCTAATGATGTTGCTGGATAATGAAAACTATTTGAGATCAGTGCTTCACCTCAGCAACGCCTGCGTATTAAATGTGGGGGGTGGAGCCTCTGCAGGAGCGGAAATATCAGGTAATTCAGAAACTCCACCTTTAAATGTATAATCTCAGTTTAAGAGGATTATTTGACTTCAGGAATAATCCCACACGTCTCTGGACAGATTCACATATTGTCCATCGGGCTGTTTTGCAGTTTGATGCACGCGACCGCTGTCACTGTCTGGAGCCGTTTATCTGACTCATGGGAAACTTTACTCCCACTCAGAATAACTGGATAATGACACATCATGACTCGGTTTCTCCTTCACCTCCCTGCAGGAAACAAACGGGCCTCTGGAGCAGCCCGTCTCTGGGGCTGTGCAACATGTGGACTCTATGAACCATGAGGACCTTTGTTATTTTCAACACAAAGATTCAGCTCTGATAAAAATCGAATCTCCCGGAAGCCGCTGCATGTTTTCTCTGACAGCACAAACAACGGTTTGAGGTTTTCCTTTCTCGGGGACCGCTGAGGTCTCCACCTGCATCACACAGTGCCATCTACTGGTCGTCGTGTGTAGCTGCGGCGTCTCCACTGCTCAGCTTATTACTGTAAACATGAGTTGGAAATTTCAAGGACGTGTATCTAACAGGGTTAATGGAGCAGATGCCCAGAGGACCCTGAAAGCCAAAGTGTGTATGCAGGTATAATTATAATCAAAAATTAGCAAAGTGGAAAAGGACGTCAACCAGGGGAGCGGTTCCACTAACACGGTCCCTGCTGTGTTATCCAATGCAGCGTGTTTAATTAAATCTATATATAAAAGAACACAGTGGTTTCAGTAAGTGCTCATTGTACTATTACATACCACTGTTTATCCCCGTGCCCCTAACATGGGAGGAATTCTGTGTAATTCTGCTCTTGGGCTGTTTTTTCTTCGTCGGTCTCTGTTGATCCCAAGATTTCGAGTTTTATCTCGAGTAGTTCAAACATGAAGAATTGCATTTATCCACGAAGACGGTTTGCAAGACAAGACTTTGAATCGACTGTGAAAATGTCCTGAGTTATAAATAAAAAAAACAGTTTTTTCTTTATGTGATTCTATTAATACTATTTTTTTGCTTTACATACATTCACATACGCAGGTAACCCTGACAACAAAATGACATATGTGAGCTGGATGCAATGTGATTTCACTCGACTGTGGACTCGTCTTGTGTTTGCTGTAAGTGATGATTTACAAGAGGCTGCTGGGAGAAACAGAGAAACCTGCCCCCCCCCCCTCCTCCAGGTTTGTGCAGAACAAACCAGCAGTGGAGCGTTAACCTGGATTGAGAGGTCGAGCTGTGCACTTGTCGGCATGTGTATGTGTGAGTGCGTCTCAGAGGGGCTTCTGGGAAAGCACAGCCTCCACACAGTCGAAGTGCGGAGGAGGGATTACTGACTTTGCACGAAACTATGAGTTTGATAATTATTTGATTATTTACTCGCTCACTGGGTAAGACTTTGGAAGAATTGCAAGTACTGCTACACTCAGACAACACATAACTCCGCCAAGGACCAACAGTCTCCTTGTGAAACCACAAACAGCCAAACAGTCGTCACGATGACTTCTCTTCATCAAGATCCATGAGAACTCAATGAAAATGTTGCCAGATCTCACAATCTTAAAGAAATCCTTCCACCAAGCATTGAGGTAATCTGTCCAGTGGTGTTTATACTTAATCCCTCTCTATCTGAGAGTTGAATATGAAACTTCGATGACTGATATCACGTCCGTCCCTGTGTTTTAAGTCTGAACAGAGAGTCTGTTTTCATATCCAGCGTCAAGACGCGAGTGTTTTCAATCTGATGTTTGGCGAGAAACTAAAGAGGAGTGAGAGAACCAGCTGAATGTTAAGATGTTTAACCTTCAACATTTGAACTGGAGGCTTCAGAGAGCTGCTGCAAACACACTGATGTTCTGTCTCTATTGCATTGTGGTCAGTGGAAAAGACAAAGACACCAGGACGATGTCCACACAGAGCAAAGTGTCCAAGTGTCTGTTTAAAGTGTCTTTAAAACAGGAAACAGAGAATGAGAGATATTTCACTCCTGTCTGCACTCGCTCTTTTCCTCCCATACTTCCTCTCCTCCCTCCTCTCCCCTCTTCCTCTCCCCTCTTGTATATAGAACTGTAATTACAGCGTCTTCTTTTTCTTATTAGCAGATAAGACTTTCATAATTGTTCCCTAGAGAGTCTGTCCAAACTTAATTAACGCTGACTAAACAGTCCCCTCTCTCTTTCTGTCTCTTCCACTTCCTCTTGTCCTCTATCTCTCTCGCTCCTCACCTCTCCCTCTCGTTCTCTCTATTGGTCTCTCTCCCTCCTATTAGACGGTGGCGGCGGCAGCAGCAGCAGCAGCAGCAGGAGGGAGGAGCCGGCTGCTCGTCAGCGATAAGTACAACAGAGACCTGCACAGGAAAATGAAAGCTGGACTTGACACAGGCTTGACTCAGACAACAGTGACTGACCATTTGGTGGTTACTGTGTGTGTGTGTGTGTGTGTGTGTGTGTGTGTGTGTGAGATGAGAAAGGGAGAATCTAATTCCTCTGAGCGGTGTAAGCCCTGAAATCACGCTCTGATCTTCAGCTCTTTTTATTCCCATTTGTTTGACTTAGAGAGATTAGCCATTAATTACTGGCTAAAGAAATTAAACACACACACACACACACAGATTTCTGGAGACTAACTCTAACCTTAACGATATTTACTGTTTGACTAATCTTAACCTAAACTTAACTTTAATGATTTACAACATGAGAAATACCTGGAGCACCAACACACAGCTGATTGAGTACAACATCAACCTCCCGCCTGAGAGCACCGGGGGATTAGCGCCGGACCGAAGCCAAGACAGGATGAAGACCATCACAGACACAGGGCGCCTGAGCCAGCACGAGGACGCAGCTCTCCGAAGCCCCTCGCGTCACGTGGAGCTTCATTTCACAGCGAGCCCCCGACGACACGACACTAAACACACAGTGAAAGAAATCATGAGGAGAGGATCAGATCAAAACCGCACGAACACTTCACGAGTTCTGAACAAACCGGAGAACAGGCGGAGCCGCAGCGACTGAAGGATAAAAGCACGTGTGAAATATTCAGTGTCTGATTTGTCCGACAGATTCTACTGGTTTGACAAAACGAGATTTAGAGGTTTGATTTTCTCGATAACTTCACACACATCGACCCACAGCAGGTGCATCACTTGTTCACGTCCCCTGGAAACGTTTCCTGTGTCGTCAGGTTGTTTTCCACGTGTTCTTCTCAGTTCAGGTGAGTTGAGCTCTCGACCTCCGCAGGAAGTCGCTCTGAGCGTCGACCATAGACTGTATATAAAGACAGTCGACGCAGGTTCAAGACAACGCAACGTCACAAACACGTGTTTACGAGAGACGCGCCATTTTGACTTGGGTCACTGGGTTGAACAGGTGAAACTAAAATGGCGGACTCTGCTTCACGGTCAATGTGGAAAAACCGTTAGCGTGACTTGTTTGGGGCTAAAGCTAAGCTAGCTCAGAGTGAAGGAACAGCTTCAACCGAACCGGAGAATCGTTAACTTCCGGTCCGCCGCCGTGACGCTGTCGGAACAACTCACCGCTCGATTCCTCGTGCGGGACCACAGCCCGCTGCGCCCTCGTGCGCGCACACCGGCACGGACTGAAATCCACCAATGAGAGAGCCAGACCCGCCCCCAGCTACTGACGTCATCGCCTCTCCGACCGATCTGATTGGCTCAGACGAGTTCAGCGCAGGTGCAGCTGCGCAACAACAAAAAAAAGTTAATTTTAATTATTTACACACATTTTAAATATTGAAACGGTTTTTAATTAATCATTCTATTTAAGAACATGTAAATATCTATCACTTAAACTATCTTTCACATTCTCCATGTAACACACCAGTTACATTACATTTATATTATTCACCTTATTTTGAAAAACTGTTATTATATATATTATATACATATATATATACTTGCATATATCTTGTATTCATATCATATTGCATACTATAGTACATTTAAGAGTAATACTATATATATATATGTATATTCATCTTTATATAGTTGTACTTTATACTATAATAGGTTTTAAACACTGGACACTGTGCAAAAGTCTCAACACAACATTTTTAATAACTTGTCAATTGTTTACTTTTTTTTATTTTTTTAACCTGTGTGCTGCAGCTGTCTCTTTTTTACTGTTTGTTGCTTTTTATTATTTCGTTTTTATTTCCTGTAATGCTGCTGGAAGTTTAATTTCCCTGAGGGAGTCTTCCCAAAGGGATCAATAAAGTTCTAAACAGTTTATACTATTGTGAGCTGATACCGTCACATCATACACACACACATAACAGACACATATAGGACATTAGTGCTGTTGTTTGTGTGTCACAGGTTGGCAGCTGTAAAAAAGATAAATATGAAGCGACAGGGACTCGAACACTTTCTAGTTTCAGGCTTCAGTTTAGGCCTCTACCGAGTCTCTGCCTCCCTCTGGTGGAAACAATGTGCCACACACACACACACACACACACACACACACACAGCAGCTAAATGCTCAATAATAAAAAACATCTCAACCTGTTTGTTTTCACAAATTTATTTGTCTTTATTGTTTAAATTCACCCAAAATGTTTTTTTTCCTGCATAACTACATCCAACAGCATTCATAGATGTCGTCACCGTGACCTCATCCGCCCGCGCCTCCAGAGTGACGACAGTGTGACATCATCAGCGCCGCCATGACATCACAGCATCATGACATGGCTCAAACGGCAGGAAAAAAAAAAAACCTACTGCTGACGGTCAGTCCATCCCGGAGTCCGTCTTCAATAAAAGCATCTTGCCGCTACCCGTGTAAAGAATAAACATTGCACATCAACTCATCGCATCAAGTCTCCATCTACTCACTGCTGGAAACCCCACCCACACCTCCACCCCCTTCACACATGGAGGCAACAGAAAACAAGAGTGGAAGAGTTGTTCTCTCGACCCACACGTGGGTTTCTGCACAGAGAAGGATTTGAAGTACGGCGGCTGGTTCTTAGAAGCACGAGGCTCCAGTAGTGTGACGCTCATCCCTTCACTTTCCTCCACATTTAACATTGATCATGTGCAGAACTGGATTTAGAAAAAGACGGAATAAAGAAATTCCCGAACTAAAAGAGAACAACTCTGCACCTTTTGACACGTTATGAAAAACCAAATGTCTTATTTACACACTAAATGTATTCAGGTATATTCAATAAGTTGATAATCCCTTTTTGAATTAGTATTTGAAGACATAAATATGAATTTTTGAATTACTATCACACAAAGTTTCAAGAGCAACCCCACCACCCCCAAAGAAATGTCTGATGAGCCACCGCAAATCTGAACATATTAGTATTTTAAAGCTGGTAATTCTATATTTTCATCTTAAATTTTAAGAATTGCAACTCATCAAAAACATCTAGATCTGGCTTTAAAAATCCACTGTGTAATTCATGTGTTTTTATATCATGTACATTCGTCCTCAAGTCATTAAAACCCTCAAACAACACCGTGCATACATCCATGTATCCTGTGTAAGGGATCAGAAAACGTGTAAGGTATCTGTGTATTTAAAAACTCTTTAAATTTGATTATGAATGCTCAGCTTTCAAAGTATTTCTAAAACATTCTATACATTTGTAGAACCAGAATATTTCATGCTATACAACAGCATTTTTTTTTTTTGCATTGACGGCTCTTTTGCCAGGTTTGGCCTCTTTATAAAAGTGCTCATTTCATTTTAAACTCTACATTTCTATGTATTCTATCCTGCCTCTGTGTTCTGCCTCATCATTTCCTGTCTATTATTCTCTCATTTGGATTTATTTGCCACCCTGGACATAACACTGTATCTTCGCTGTTTTCACGTCCACTCAGTGAAGTTAATATATGGCTATAATCCTTTGGTACCCTCTGAAGGACGAGAGGCCGAACGCAGAGTGTGCTCATATAGATTTCCTGTTGTCCTCAGAAAAAATGAGGGTAAATATAATTTAGACTGTGAAATTCTTCGTACTGAAACGTGAGGAGGTTTAAAGAAGGTAAATAATAGTGTGGACACAGGGTTGGATCTGCTGCGTGTCACTCTGACCCCTCCATCTGTTTCCTCCGTGATATCTTACGCTCTGTTTTTACACTATGGAACAAGATGATGCTGAAATGTGTGCGTTTCAAAAACAGTCCATCATCAACAATGTGGAACTCAAAGGAAGAGAATGGCATCAGAACAATGTTTCCCTCCCGCACCGCTTGCATAAATCTCTTTGTTAAATCATCTGCTATTTACAGTAACACATGTAATCGTGACATGGCTCGTCCGAGCCCGGCGAGCCGCTGGAACAGTACGACACCATTTTCATATTCGTCCGTCTTCATCAAGACCAAAGTAACCGAGAGTCAAAGTTCCTTATACAGTAGAATACAGTAGACAACTTTCAAGTAAAAATGTTTTTGTTTTCTAAGAATACTGACGTGTTCACACGGTTCGTCACAGACCGGAGTCAAACACTAACTGAAATCACTGGGTTACATTGTAACCTCGGTGCTCAGAGTGAAGAGACTCGGAAACACGTGTCCATCAATCGATTCCACGCCTGCTCGGGTGATTCTTTAGGTACGATATGGGGCGTGGCTCACAGTCTGGAACAGAGATAATCCAAAACTCCTCGTACTGTGAATGTTTGAGCAAACGACCTCAGCAGCGATGGCGGAGCTGCGGATCACAGCGTGAGGCGGGTTTCAGTCGTAGATTTGACCCCGGTCTGCGTCACGGTCAGCAGACGACAAAACCCCCCCCCCCCCGTCATAATCAGATGATCGACTGAACGTTGTGACTAACTGTCGTTTTCATCGCTGGAGTCCGACGAAGGAAAAAGGTAAATGAATTCATTATTTTTCAAAAGTACAGAAACGCCATCGTAGCCACAGACAACTAAGCCGCCGTTTTCTCTGCTTCAAAGAATATGCGATATTTTTTTTGCCTTGAAATAAAGTGAGTGACAGAGAGACACTCACTACGTGTTTCTGTACAGGAATCCATTGATAATCATCAATGCACAAAAGTAAAAGACAAAAGCACACAAATATCCCAAAACTGAAATTGAGACGGCTCAAGAGAGGTTGTTTTTTTTTCCTTTAGATTTTTTTTCTCACTTAAGTTTAAAATACACATATTAACCAACTGTAGGAGGTTTACACAGGAATTTGGATTCATCAAAAAAGAAAAAAAAGCACAGTTTTAAGTCAGTCCAGCGATCCTGGCTCTACAGTGGACCTGAGTCCGCGGTGGTCCGGCCCGGAGGAGCTGAGGGCCATCGTGTGCTGGGCAGATGGCAGTTACCGCACGGCGATCGCTGGGGGCGGCGGAGAACTCGTCGCCCTGTACCGTGCTCACCCTGGTTATACACGCGTGTTGTCAGGCAGGGAAGCACGGTACAGATCACCTCGGTTCAGTTCAGCAGTGTCAGCGGCTGTTCTGAGGTTTTCACCACAGAGGAGGCGGCCGACGTAGAAGTAGTAACTCGTGGGGGGGGGGGGGCCCGGGAGCAGAGGGAACACAAAGAGAGAAAGAAAGAAAGAGAGAGAGAGAGAGAGAGAGAGAGAGAGAGAGATAGAGAGAGAGAGATTGAAGTGGAGCTTTGACAGGTGAAGGAGTTACAGGACAGAGGAGAAACTTTGCAGGTGAAACAGGCTTAGAGAGGATCGACGAAGGTCAGGCCCGGGGAGGGGAGCGAGGGACAGCTGGAGATAGTTTGGAGGTGGAGTGAGGGGGTCCACTGGTGATGAAGGAATCAGACAAGAAAGGAGGACGGCCGGACTCGAGGAGGAAGGAGGAAGGAGGAAGGGGGGGGGGTCGGTGATAAAGCTCCAGAGAGTATTCTGTGAGAAGCAGGTCCTCCAGTCCAGAGGGACACCTGCAGAAACACAGTGACATCATCAGACTCACCCGACTTCACATTAATAATTTAATCACTGATAAACCTCTTCATTCCTCCTTCAAAATAAGAGCTCAGAGAATCTGGAACACTCTGGACACAGTGGTCCGTAGCTTCCTTTGAATCAAAGCTGAAAACGTCCTTTCGTCGCAGCACATTCCCAGATTTTACCGAAACAGATCCGGGGACATTTTACCGAAGTGTGTCCTCCTGGTGCTACGTGGACTACAGACTATGTTATCAAGTAAGTACAAAGACTGATGTTATAGTTTTAAGTTTAGATATAAATACACTCTGAGGTTTATGTGTGATTTACGAAACACAATAATAGAATATTCGATTCTTTGAATGAGTCCACAAAATAACATTCAGATTTTTTTTTCCCAGTTTGTTAATTTAAAAAAAAAATCACAATAAGTCGTCAGATATTTTCTCTCCAGGTTCCAACATCTGCTGTCTTTTGTTTTTGGACATAAACAGCATTTCACCTTGTAAAAGAACATTTTCAAAAAAGACGAAAACAAACGAGACGACAAACGACAACGGCGCTGAGATGACTTGACCCACCGAGCTCGTCACAGACGGACGACTTCAGCAGATGGTCTCAAGGTGACGTGAGTTCTGCGGAGGAGAAGAGAGGAGCTGTAGAAATACTCTGAACACAAACCGTCTCATCAGCTGCAGTGTTTGAAAGAGCTCTGTGTGTTTGTGTCTCACCGGCGTGTCGTTCCACTGCCTCGGCAGGTCCTCTGGCTCAGGGGGGTAGGACATCCAGGACGGGCTACGGTACGAGGACGGCGGCGACATGACGAAATAATCCGAGTAACCCGGGCGGTTGGCTGATATAGCGTAGACTGCTGTTATTGGGTTTCCTGTGAAATGCAAAGATAATAGACTCGTTCCTCTTTGAGTTTTTAAAGATTCTTGTAATGATTTGATGAATTCATTGTGACTTTGTTCTTGTTTTGTTTATTTCTTCTCAATCTGAACTATTTATTACATAAAGATGAAATAAAACATCAATAAAAAGCCTGTTAATAAACTTTATCCTCTATTTCTGTCAAACCTGAGTAGGTGGTGATGGACTGGTCGACAGTGACAGCAGGGAAGGTGGTCCTGGACAGTGGCAGGTAGGGGGCGCCGTTGTGCTGTTGGGCCTGGAGGTCGGACGCCTCTGACACTCGAGGCTTCAGACTAACATCGGGGGTGGAACTGACGAGAGACAAACAGAGAAACGCTTGTTAACGTGGTAATCTGTCGACAGTGAAACATATCAACAAATACTTTTTTACTAAAGCTGGTCAAGAAGTTAAAACCAAAAAACTAGGTCAGAACATTTCCTGGACTTTGTGTTTGGACAACAGCGCTCGAATCTCATCGTCTTTCCAAGTTGACGTCTTCAGCTGCGTCCTCACATATGACATTCTAAAAAAACATTCAAAATAAACTCCAGGAAACGACCAGAGCCTCTAACTGTGACGTTTGTGTTCTCACACACACGGAGATTATCTGGATTTCAGATAAACTTATAGTGTCAGTGGTTCTGTTCACATTAAAAATCACCAGGAGCGTCATCAGCAGACTGGTGAGCAGATCTGGGTTTAAACAAGCACGTGTGTTTATGTTTTCCTATAGACGGCGGCACGGTGGTGCAGTGGTTCGCACTGTCGCTTTGCAGAAAATCCGGTTCTTGGTTTTAATCCCAGTTCGACCCCTGAATCGTTTCCTCCTCATCTACATGTCGTCCCCCTCTGATCTGCGGAAGCTCAGACTACTGTACACAACACGTTCCACCACACCGAGGAACCCGGAGGACAGATGATGTCATTGTCGGAGCTCAGGACCACGATGCACTGTGCACGCTAACGCTTCACACTGCATCCCAAAGAGGAATTAACATGCTGCACACACACACACACACACACACA